CGACTACATTAACATTGGCATTTAAATACAAAAGAGTCACAGAATCATATTTCTGAGCATTTAACAATCAATAAAAGACAGCTACATATGATACAGTATTTAAATTGTAACCTATTTTTTTAATTTGCCAACTTTATTAGAATTCTAAAGTTGTACAATATATGGAAAATACTGTTTTCTTGTACAAACATATTATCATCAAAGTACATTAACAGTGATGTATAACAATAATGACCCCAAACATATACACACGAGTGAGGGATAACATTAGCTTTTTATTTAGTACCTGATGATATTTAATGTTGGGCTTCCATGTGGATTTATAAGAATAATGACACATTTGCATTTCTCTTGAAACAGAAGGCAATTTGCTCTTCTGAGAAATGGTTATAGCCTAGTTTACCAACAAGTTTCAGCTTCTCCCATCAGTTAACCATAGTGCCTGTTGGCGTGTATACTGCAAATGATTCATCTTATTTATAATTTCTTACTGACATGTTTTCCTTGTGCATTGTTGTTAGCTTCCTAGTCCTGTTCAGATGGATGCATGTCGGCAAGTGACTATTGCATTTTAACAGAGCCCTCTGTGGGTAGGGTTAGGGTGATGCTTGTCCTAGTAGGTTTGTTGTCCTTTTCTCCTTGTCTGCAATTTGCCAAATCAATCTCCACCTTAATGTACACCCATGTATCAGACAGTGTCACGACTGAAATAGCTGTCCAGGCTGGGGCTACCTTTTATTGTAATGCACGCTGGCTGACAAAACAAATAATAAAAAAAGGGGGGTTCAACTAGAGTCTCAGTCGACTGACAGGCCTCTTGACTAATTGAATTTCAAGGAGCAGCCCTACAGTTCACACTGCATAAACACTTTATCTTTCAAGAAAAAAACTAATAAAAATATTTTCATTACAAAGTGTAATGTGATAAAAACAATTAATTAAAGAAACAGCACTACATTGGTGTATTTTCCAAGAGCTGCACAAATGGATTCCATCCTGCTGCTCTACATGCTCAATAAAGCACTAAGTGTGGATTAATCTGCCACTGAAAATAGTCTCCAACAAATGAACTATTTGTTCCTGTTTGAGTTATACTTGCTAAACACCACAGTGCCCAACTGTTTCAGGAAATTACTGAGCCTTTTTTGACAATAAATTCCTATATTTGTGAGCAGCTTTTAAAAATGTATGGCTGTAGGAGGAATCAGTGGTTTTGGAGCTGCGAGCCAAAGAGTAGGGAAATCAGACAGCTGAGAGACAAGGTAATGCACTGAAGTAGTCATGGAATTTAGTGACAATAAGCAAAATAGAGAATAACACCAGCCTTATACTTTAAACTATTGGCTGCATCACTGTGTCGTATGGAGCCTGTACTGCCCCTCTGCCTTCCCTTACGGACATCTTCAACACCCGCCTCACCCGGATAGCCATCAGCATTGCTGATGACACCTCCCACCCCGCACACGCCCACTTCAGACTCCTGCCTTCAGGGAGAAGGTATCGGAGTCTTCAGGCCCACTCCACCAGACTTACAGACAGCTTCATCCACCAGGCTGTGAGGATGCTGAACGGTGTCACCACCTGACAATCTCCTGTTACTGTCTGCACTACTGTCACTGACTGTACTCGGTTTTGAGCCACAGCTTATTGGCTGTACTGTTTAGATTTATCCTAATTACGTTAATCCATTTCTTATCCTATTCTATTCTATTTTTATTGTGCTTTATTCTATTTTAGTTCCTAAATGTTATGGCACCCAATACTAGGTGAGAGAGAAACGGTATTTCGATTTTCTGTATGTCCTGCACATATGGTGAATTGACAATAAAGTCCTTGAACCTTGAACCTAAACAATAGTGACATGACATTCTTAGAGAACCGCTGAATTGCCAAGTGTACTAGACATAAAAAGAGGATTGATTTGTCTTGATGAAGAAATTGTTTAAATTGTTGCATTTCTATTAAAGACAAGCTCTTCTAACTAGCGTCTGATTTGGTAATATATTGCCATTTCTGAATTTTGACTTCCCTTTTGATCAAAAGCTTCCATTCGTCATTTTCTCACAGGTACATAAAGATCGGAGACAAGGAGTGTGAGTACAACCCCAGTTTCCGCCTCATCCTGCACACCAAGCTTGCCAGCCCTCATTACCAGCCGGAGCTGCAGGCTCAGTGCACGTTGATCAATTTCACAGTGACCAGAGATGGTCTGGAGGACCAGCTGCTGGCCGCAGTGGTCAGCATGGAGAGACCTGACCTGGAACAGCTGAAGGTGAGGAAGTCGGAGTGTCAGCTGAGGCAGAGAGATGAAAGATGTCTTTTTATCTGGTGGTTCACAGGAATGTAAAAATTAACTTGAGCTGAAATGAAAGCAGTCTCTCTCATACTCTTCAGGTGCTATCAAAAAACAAACCCCTGTTCCGTGTTGGACTATGTTAGCTCCTCTCCTAAATCTCTCCTTTGGAGGTGTAATTAAAAGAAACAGTTGGAGGAGACGGGCCTCCAGAAGCAGGGCGTAGCACTCGCGTTCATCTTTTTCCATGTTTTAACACTACACACTGGCAAGAAAACACCTTTAAACATTGCATCATAAGAGGCTGCTGATCCAGGCTCTTTGATTCCAAAACAATCAGCCAGTGCCTTTCATTAGTGGCAGACTAAGTGGATGTGTGATAACTTCGGGGCTTTGCTTCCCTCACTCAGGGAGACGGGGACCCCGCACAGCTGTATGAGTTTGCGTGAATGTGTCTGACTTTGTCACCTTGGGCTCTATTTTCCTGCCAGCACAATTTCTGTGTCACCTCATTTGTAGTCCTTTGTCACATACATACATCAATATTGTTTTAACACCAACTTGAAAAATCCTGAACTATTCCTTTAAAATCTGCAGCACAGGATTACTTTGGATATTCCAAAGTACCTCCATACAGATGAAGGTATGTGTTCTGTTTATTATTTTAATCCCAAACAATAAAACCTCTGAGCATATAAACACAGGCACAGGAAGAACATGCAAACTCCGCACAGAAAGGCACCGGGTCAGCAACCTTCTTGCTGTGAGGCGACAGTGCTAACCGCTGAACCACCACCCGCCCTTGCCTAAACATACAGTACATACCCAAAATAGTAGTGGACCACGTACTGGGCCTGTAGGGTTTAACAGGCTAAGATACAATGCTTTGTCGTTTAAGGGAGACGTACTTAAAACTCTTACTGAAGTCAAGGATGTGAATACTTCCTCTACTGCTAGTGCTAACTGCTTGTACAACCTAACATGTTTTAGTTATATGTTGCAGTTTTATGGTTTTTTTTATTGTGCTTATAATTCAATTTATTCTTTAGGATCATTTTAGTCCTACAATCGAGCTCAATTGTCACTTGCACGATTCAGACAGAAGCTTGCTAATGTAGCCTTTTGTGTTATTTTCTTTGAGGGTTGTTTTGGCTGATAATAGTTATTTTCTAATACCTTTTAACATGAAACTGTAATATTTTCTGAGACGTTATCATACCATGATTGGCTGGAAATCTGTTGCATTGCTTTACAGCACAGAGTGATTCATTGTAAAGCAGAAGTAAGGCTTGCACAGAAAATGACATTTGTTGGAGCACATGAAGAAAATGTAATATTATTGTGGAGTTATTTGTCTGGTGTTATTACCACGATTTGTTTTGGTTTTATTGGTTAATTGTATGAAAATGCTGATGTTTTAAGTGCCAATATTTTGTGGTATTGGCAGTCAGCGTAGGAAATCTTATTTTCTTTGTCTATTTCTTCTGTCTTCAGCCATGATTCATTTAAACAGAAACACTCTACCTTTTATATAAGGCTTAACCAGCAAAGAAAGATTCTTAAATAGAAAATCCATAAGGTTTTATGAACTGGTTAGCTGGAGTTTCCAGCGTCGTAAATCAGTTGATGATAGACAGCATCAAAAGAAAATGTATTCATATATGAATAAAACGGTTTGTACTGTAACATCTATGAAGAATCACCCATAAAGTAATCCATTAATCCTAAACACAAAAAAAAAAGTATTATCATAAATCATATTCTGAAGCACTAACAATTTAGCATTGTGCCACTGTCACCCTGGGTACTGTTCCTGTGAAACTCCTCCATTTATCATCAAGCTCCAGGAGTTGTGTAATTGTGTCTTGATGCTATCCTCAAGGGAGTTTCATCTTTTTTATCACTTTGGCAGACTAATTTGTGTTCACAAATCCACATCCAGCTCTCTGAAATCAAAGGAGAAGCAGATGAGATGCTTTAAGGTGTATTTCTCTTTCTAATGTAAATGACTCACTGAATTGTGTGGAAATTTGACTCAGGGAGGCTGAAGCTGCTGATCAACAGCAACGTCGCCAGCTGTAGCTTTAAGCCACCACCGCTGGTCCTACTTAGTGGCCGGCTTGGTACGCTGTGTACAGTGCAGCAGCTTCCTGGCAGCTGTATGACAGAGTTTAGTAGATTTACTGTATGGCAGTAATGAGCAGCAAATAGTTAACGATATTTAACAGCATGGTCCACAGTGTGAGTGTAAATGTAATTAACTCAAAGTTGACTTGATCAAAGCTCCAGCGCCAAGTGATGTCTGCTCTTTTTATGTTGGCTGTTTGAAATGCATTGACCAGTGGCACTACCTCCAATTAGAAAACACACTGACACTTCCACTATTCTTCAAATGCAACTTTTTGTTAGTTGAAATGAGAACTCCCTCTCGTTTCAGAATGCGTTTGGATGGCGATGGTGATAACGCAGGAACTCTGTTAACGGGTCAGACAGATGTAATCTAACACAATCCTGTTTGCATACTGATGGCTTTCTGGAAGCCTCTTTGAACACACTGGGCCTTTGTAGGTAGCACTTTATTCAGACCTGTAGTCTTTCATCCATGGACAAATCATTTGTAATAATTGGTGAGAGATGGAGAAAAAAAAGCCAAAATGCCAGAGTTATTTTAAGCCTTATGTCTTCTCAGCAAAAATCACTGGAGAAGAAGTGAAATGTGATTTAATGAAGCTTGTTTAATTAGCATTTCACGAGATTGGAGAGTGAGAGAAAAAAAACACGATTTGGAACTCATTTATTATTTTAATTAACTCTGAAAGTTGAAGGTGGGTGGAGGAGGGGGACCCGCTGTGTACACTCCAAGCACCCTCCTATCAAACACAGCCTGTAGAATAAAGTGCTGAATGGCCTTTTGTTGTCAGTAAACAACCCAGACTGATAACAATCACCAGACTGATAGTGGAGTGCAAATTGGCTGTACCTGTTTATATCTGCAGCACAGGATTACTTTGGATATTCCAAAGTACCTCCATACAGATGAAGGTATGTGTTCTGTTTATTATTTTAATCCCAAACAATAAAACCTCTGAGCATATAAACACAGGCACAGGAAGAACATGCAAACTCCGCACAGAAAGGCACCGGGTCAGCAACCTTCTTGCTGTGAGGCGACAGTGCTAACCGCTGAACCACCACCCGCCCTTGCCTAAACATACAGTACATACCCAAAATAGTAGTGGACCACGTACTGGGCCTGTAGGGTTTAACAGGCTAAGATACAATGCTTTGTCGTTTAAGGGAGACGTACTTAAAACTCTTACTGAAGTCAAGGATGTGAATACTTCCTCTACTGCTAGTGCTAACTGCTTGTACAACCTAACATGTTTTAGTTATATGTTGCAGTTTTATGGTTTTTTTTATTGTGCTTATAATTCAATTTATTCTTTAGGATCATTTTAGTCCTACAATCGAGCTCAATTGTCACTTGCACGATTCAGACAGAAGCTTGCTAATGTAGCCTTTTGTGTTATTTTCTTTGAGGGTTGTTTTGGCTGATAATAGTTATTTTCTAATACCTTTTAACATGAAACTGTAATATTTTCTGAGACGTTATCATACCATGATTGGCTGGAAATCTGTTGCATTGCTTTACAGCACAGAGTGATTCATTGTAAAGCAGAAGTAAGGCTTGCACAGAAAATGACATTTGTTGGAGCACATGAAGAAAATGTAATATTATTGTGGAGTTATTTGTCTGGTGTTATTACCACGATTTGTTTTGGTTTTATTGGTTAATTGTATGAAAATGCTGATGTTTTAAGTGCCAATATTTTGTGGTATTGGCAGTCAGCGTAGGAAATCTTATTTTCTTTGTCTATTTCTTCTGTCTTCAGCCATGATTCATTTAAACAGAAACACTCTACCTTTTATATAAGGCTTAACCAGCAAAGAAAGATTCTTAAATAGAAAATCCATAAGGTTTTATGAACTGGTTAGCTGGAGTTTCCAGCGTCGTAAATCAGTTGATGATAGACAGCATCAAAAGAAAATGTATTCATATATGAATAAAACGGTTTGTACTGTAACATCTATGAAGAATCACCCATAAAGTAATCCATTAATCCTAAACACAAAAAAAAAAGTATTATCATAAATCATATTCTGAAGCACTAACAATTTAGCATTGTGCCACTGTCACCCTGGGTACTGTTCCTGTGAAACTCCTCCATTTATCATCAAGCTCCAGGAGTTGTGTAATTGTGTCTTGATGCTATCCTCAAGGGAGTTTCATCTTTTTTATCACTTTGGCAGACTAATTTGTGTTCACAAATCCACATCCAGCTCTCTGAAATCAAAGGAGAAGCAGATGAGATGCTTTAAGGTGTATTTCTCTTTCTAATGTAAATGACTCACTGAATTGTGTGGAAATTTGACTCAGGGAGGCTGAAGCTGCTGATCAACAGCAACGTCGCCAGCTGTAGCTTTAAGCCACCACCGCTGGTCCTACTTAGTGGCCGGCTTGGTACGCTGTGTACAGTGCAGCAGCTTCCTGGCAGCTGTATGACAGAGTTTAGTAGATTTACTGTATGGCAGTAATGAGCAGCAAATAGTTAACGATATTTAACAGCATGGTCCACAGTGTGAGTGTAAATGTAATTAACTCAAAGTTGACTTGATCAAAGCTCCAGCGCCAAGTGATGTCTGCTCTTTTTATGTTGGCTGTTTGAAATGCATTGACCAGTGGCACTACCTCCAATTAGAAAACACACTGACACTTCCACTATTCTTCAAATGCAACTTTTTGTTAGTTGAAATGAGAACTCCCTCTCGTTTCAGAATGCGTTTGGATGGCGATGGTGATAACGCAGGAACTCTGTTAACGGGTCAGACAGATGTAATCTAACACAATCCTGTTTGCATACTGATGGCTTTCTGGAAGCCTCTTTGAACACACTGGGCCTTTGTAGGTAGCACTTTATTCAGACCTGTAGTCTTTCATCCATGGACAAATCATTTGTAATAATTGGTGAGAGATGGAGAAAAAAAAGCCAAAATGCCAGAGTTATTTTAAGCCTTATGTCTTCTCAGCAAAAATCACTGGAGAAGAAGTGAAATGTGATTTAATGAAGCTTGTTTAATTAGCATTTCACGAGATTGGAGAGTGAGAGAAAAAAAACACGATTTGGAACTCATTTATTATTTTAATTAACTCTGAAAGTTGAAGGTGGGTGGAGGAGGGGGACCCGCTGTGTACACTCCAAGCACCCTCCTATCAAACACAGCCTGTAGAATAAAGTGCTGAATGGCCTTTTGTTGTCAGTAAACAACCCAGACTGATAACAATCACCAGACTGATAGTGGAGTGCAAATTGGCTGTACCTGTTTATATTCTTTGAATGACTCGACGCCATTATACCGTTAATGAGGTTAGCGTTGCTGCTGAGCCATAAGATGACTACCGGGTGAAATAGCTCTCATTTACCCGGGCCCGAGACGGGGCTAAGGAGCTTAAAATGTCAAGTTTCCTTTTTGGAGAGTGCACAGGGGGATCAGTCTACATCCTTTTACCACAATAACTACCTCGTCTGGTCCTCCCTCTGTGTAAATGTGCAACTTTGCCCCTGTTTGCTCTGACACAGTTGTTACCCAGGCCTTTGTCGTTAATGAGAGCTAAAATGTTTCACTTCCCAAATTACCTTAACAGGGCTGCTCTGTGGCACTCAGTAATCATTTGCCTGAAAAATGATAGATGTAATATCTCATTTTAATCCCAATTAGGGGGTTCTGCTGACTGGTTAATTGTTTGTTTTTCCTAAGCAAGGGTAATTACAAGTACAATGTGCCTGAGGAAAGCAAATCATTTAAAACTGACTCATTACTGGATCCAGTTGGGAATGTCTTAGTGTGGGTAGCTTTCCCCCTCAAGTGCACTGAGTCTGTGTAAGTAGAAGGTCACAGCTGACTCACACAGGCAAATGTCCCCAGTTAAATGTCCACCACTCAAACCGATTCTGTCCTTTTTTGCTGTGCTCTAAGTACACACATGTCAGGTCATTCCTTAAAATGCCACAAATCACATTATTTTCTCCCCTGTGCAGACCCTTTCTGCTGTAATGTATAGTGGGTAATAATGTCAAATTCAGGGCATGTAAGATTTAACAAGGCAGAGGCTCATTTAGTTTTAACAATGATGTAAAATACCTCTCATCACCACTATAGGAAATACTGTCATAAACAGAGCAATTAAACAGTGTGATCTCTTAAACAGTCTCCTCCCACACCGTGATCTGAGCTAACTATGTCTTCTGTCATGGGAACATTATGCCACGGTGAGGAGGAACTGCTCCACCCCCAGCAATCTTCCAGCTCCCCGGGTGATTACACGGGGCAGAAACAGCAATGCCAGAAGCTTATTACCACCGTCTGTCAGGGATCATGCCACTCAAAAACCCTCAGCTATTATCAGTCACTGACAACACTGGAGTAGGCAAAATTCATAACAGTCCACCCTTCCTGTAATTACAACAATTCAAAGTTTGCAGAGGCCTCTATTAAGAGAAACTTCAATAAAGCAAAGTCATTATCTAGCAGAAACAAGGTGCTGCAAGAGACCATAATGAAGGACAAAGCGGGATGAAGCAATAAAGAGAAGCAACTATGCCCTGTTGACTTTGTTCTCCCAGCACCCCTCATACAGCAGGCTTTGAAAAAGCAAACGTCTCTCTTAGACACTTGTTTTTGCAGCTAGAACTTAGACAGAAAAAAACATTTAGAGTTCAAGCTTTATTAGAAGACGGTGCACTAATCCATATGGTGAGGTGTGAGTAAAGCTCATTATTACTGAACTGTGTGTGCATATTTTGCTTGATGCCTGTAGAGGTTCATAATTTAATCCATAGTGTTGTGTAACAATGGATGTTTGTGCAGTTCTAAATCAAAGCTCTTTCCTGTCTTGCTCAAATCGACAGTCTCATCGTACTGAGGGTTAGGTCACTCAGCAGAGGTTTGATGTTTCCGACCAGACGGAAGCTGGCTAATCCAGCCCAGAGTGCTCCTTTCAAGGCTCTGAAGCAGAGCATATTGATTAGTTCTGCCTTTGAGGTGCCCTTCAGTATTCAGGTCGTCACATTGACCTACACCTTGAACATGTCCCACTGCCTCAGATCATGATGATAAGGCCAGAAAAGAAGCTGATATGGCTACAGAGATGTGCTCCGACATGTGGAATCACATGAGTTTTTATGTACTTCTGTGTTTCTTAGTCGGACTTGACGAAGCAGCAGAATGGTTTCAAGATCACTCTGAAGACACTGGAGGACAACCTGCTGTCTCGTTTGTCCTCAGCTTCTGGAAACTTCCTGGGTGACACAGAGCTGGTGGAAAACCTGGAGACAACCAAACGCACTGCCGCTGAGATTGAAGTGAAGGTCCAGTTCTTTTTACTTTGCTATCTTACAATAATGACTTATGAGATTGCTCATCACTTCTGTGCTCCTGTCGCTTTGCAATTTTCAGTGTGGCCGTTGATCACATAAAGGATATCACTAACATATTTACATGGTACCTATAGTGGGACAACAATATAAGTACCAGGGAAGTTACTGCCATTTAAGGGGGTAACAACTTTGTGTTAAAGAGGGACTTAACAGTAATTATGCTGTAAATGTTTATTACTGGGTTCCTATAGAGCAGTTTCCCAGGTACCCAGAGGGTGTGTGGGTTGTATAATAATGCAGTACCTTGTTGAGATCTTTTCCACTCTAATTTGGAGTATAGTTAGAAGATTAGAAAATACAGCTGCCCATTATTGCCATCTTTTTCACTATAACATGCAATGTAGTAAAAGGGTATGTGGCTTGTACAATAAAGCAGTTCCTTGTTCACACATTTTTCATTGAATACAAAGTAAATATGCAGAACTGTAATGTGTAATATGAGTTTTTCCGATGTTATACATATGTAAAGAATATCGTCTGTCACTACAATAAATATTAAACAGAAAACAAAACGTATACACCTCAGTGCTAAAAGAAAGTCACAATGTAAACAGTATGTAAGAAACTGCATTTTCTAGTTCGCAAAACATCCATGAACAAAGTCTGAATCCTCAAAATAAGCCTGACTTTTTGCTAGATGGAAAAGTTTGGAAGTTTTCTGATTCTGCATTTTAGAGCTTTTTTTGTTGTTCAGTAACATAAACTTGAGCCTCTTGGATAATTCTCACCCCCTCACAGTACATCAGTACCCAGACTCTACACACCAAATATTTGAAAGATACAAAGATTTGCTCCTTTTCTTAAAGCTATTGTAGAAGGACATATGGGCTAAGTGTGTTGATACGCTGAATGAACCTTAAAATCATTTAATTACACAAGTACTTACATTGTACTGCATTTCACAATTCCTCCTAAAAGCAATTTACTTTTTATTGCCCATGCAACTTCCCTTGCTTCAGCCTATGGGTATGCAACAAGGATTTCTTTGGTAACGTGTATATAAACACACTGTTTATGCTGTAATGTGTGTTTATTCTCTTGCTTTCTTACTCTCTTGCTTTGTTTCTCTTTATTTATTTATTATTTGGTCAGCAAATCATATCATGTCAGCTTAGTGCATAATCGCTGCCAGAGGAGACTTATTGACATTTCTGATGCTTCACAGCACTTCTAAGAAAGTAGTGAATGATGATGTGAGAGTGTGCTCCTGGCAGCCCGGAGATGAGCACTGCCTTTGCAGATGTTCATTCTTAAGTATAATTGCACAGGCATTTGCTGGCAAAAAAAAGTCTCATAATTGTCATGTTCCATGTCGTATGAGAACCTTTTTGCTGGAACCGTGAAATTAGAATAGATCTGCTCTTTCCTGGAGGGTGTATTATTAAATGGTGCACATGTCATCATTAGCTGATTTATGAACCCTGAGCGTAAGCTCATCTGTGTGGACGTATGTTTGTGTCTTGTGTGTGAATATGATTCCATTTGTGTTTTCACTAACCTTACTGTAGGTAAAAGAAGCCAAGGTGACAGAGGCCAAAATCAATGAGGCCCGTGAGCACTACCGACCGGCAGCAGCACGAGCTTCCTTATTGTACTTCATAATGAACGACCTCAATAAAATCCACCCCATGTACCAGTTCTCTCTCAAGGTAGCTTGTCTATTGTCCCACCATGTTTCCTCCCCACCTCACAGGCTCCCAGTGAGACCCCTCTTTGCACCACTTCTCTGGTCCTCCCCTCCTCCTCCCATTTGCTCACCATGTTTTATGTTCTTTGTCCTGCTTTTATTGTGTTTGTGGCTCCCTAATGTGGTTATATAGCGCGTAATGTCTTTCATATTGTCAGCCAGCGAGTGCTGAGAGGAGGCAGCCTGAGATATGGTTTGCAATCAGTCCCGACTCTGCAGGTAGCTGCCCCGGCCCAAGTTATTTCCCAACATAATCAAATGAAAACACATTCAGAGTTTATATACCTTTGACCTTGTGAATGAAATGAAAGATTTCATAATATGTGTTGTTCACATCAGGTTAGAGCAAAGAGTGAATCTGTGTAATTGACAAAAATGGCACCAGAGCACCCAGAGAAGACTATAACAAAAAAGATTCTATTTGCTTAGTGATATTTCAGTTCACTCTAATAACACTTTTTCAAAAAATACAGTTAGACTAGAACTTTCACCTTTGATTAGTAGTTTGTGTAATTCATACCTGCACTGTTTGGCATGCTCAAGAAATTCATTTGTACTGCAACGACAGTCACAAGTTGAAATGGTTAAAGCATAAAGCAAAAATGTTTAACTTTTTAAAATTTTTTACTAATTGTCAACATGTCCTGTGAAAACCCAAAGCCAGCAATGTGTTAATCTCTCTCTCAATACTCTGACTTCTTTACACTGCCTGTGCCACTCAGCCCCAAGCCCATTGGTTCCTGTTGAAGATGCAAATCTTTAAAGCTGCACTAATCAGTATTCTTCATTTTAAATGACTATGTGTAATGCGAAAGAGCTCAGCAACAAACCCACAGCCTGAATCTGGGATTCACTTCAGCTCTGTGGAGCATTTTAGAATGTGTCAGCTCACTGTTGTGGTTTTATTGTCCACAATTTACTGTTTTGGTTCAGTCTCATACCTCTTATCAACCTTCTTTCTTTGGCAAAAACTGCTTTGATATACCCACTGTACTCGACCTGCACAGCACAAAAACAGCAGACTGACAAAGTCAGCAACTGGCTGGTGAATAAAATGTAGCAGCTAGCAGCTCACTATTTGGTGGAGCCCACCAAAGGATGAGTAAGATGATGAGTGTTTACTGCTGGTTATGCTGAAGTGACCAAAAATAAATCTAACTGCTTTAAAAGCAGGTGACAAATGTATATTGTCATTGTTGGAAAAGGCTTAGTACATTTCTAAAACTGATGCTCTCTGTAGATTTGTCAAACTGAAGGAAATAACACATTAGTTGGGAACTATTTTCTATGCTATGAAATAATACACATTTGGAACTTAGACCAAGGTGGTACAGGGTGTGTTTTTATGGTAATGATGGAACATGTCACTCAACTGCTTCTTAAACTGGTGCACAAAAATGTGAGTAGTTACTGAGGAGTGAGTGAGGAACACATCATAAATGACTAGATAATTAATGATGAGTAGTTCCTGAACTCTGAATCAAGTACTACGCAGCAGATGATGATGAATTACTAGAGAACGGACTGGGAGACCAAAACTCATGAGACAGTTGGCAGTCATTAGTTCATATGTGTCTGTGAATCAGACTAATGACCACCTTCTTCATAAGTTGTTCCTAATTAACTCTGAGCAGGTGATGATATATTTTTTGTCATTCCTTCAATTACGATTAAATGAATTTGGTTTTTTTTTTAGGTTTAATGAGTCCTGATTTATTTTTGGACTATTCATGCTAGATTCCAAGACATTGTAATGTAATGTAATATTCATTATTTGTTAGTTCATGAGTCATCCCTTACTCCTACTCACATTTTTGTGTCACCCAGTGCAACAGTGCAACTCATTGCTGGGTTTTTAAGAGATTTTGGACATCAGTGGAGCTCTGTGGCACAGAGCAATAAGGTCAGGTATTGGATACACACATAATTCTTGCAGTTTCATTGTTGGTTTTGGTCATTCCTGATATTTATTACCATTAGAAATATATAGATATAGTGGAAGGTTGGCTGTATTATTCCACTCTATGCTATCTACTTTCTCAAAATTATGACTACAACATGTCCATAAATACTTGCCTGAACCCAAAATGCATTTCGACAAATTACAGTTAAGGGCATTCCATAAAAAGAAAACTAAACTGCATCATGTCCATCGTGATAGCTAGATGAAATCCAATTTATAATTGAAGCCATATATCAACACAATCCAGTTATTAACTACTATTTGATTATTGGCTTATTTTGTTGAAAGCGACTCTTTATCCAACAATATTGGAACTTTTCTACTAACCCAGCACTTTGATGACAGATCCTGAATCAGTGTTGAGTGTTGTAACTGCTCCTGTGCGTCCCCAGGCGTTCAGTGTGGTCTTCCAGAAAGCAGTTTTGAAGGCTGAGCCGGACGAGACTCTGAAGCAGCATGTGTCCAACCTAATTGACAGCATCACCTCCTCAGTATTCCAGTACACCACCAGAGGCCTGTTTGAATGTGACAAGCTCACGTACACCGCTCAGCTCGCTTTCCAGGTAGGAATGCAAGCTGATTTCATCCTCTGCAGGATTTCTTTTTGAGAACAAGCTTACCACTGAGTCAGCTGCTCCGGAGACCAGCAGCCCTGTTTGGATCTAATCAAGTATAAAGGAAATGTGGTTTGTGCTGAAAAATGTCTTTCCTCTTTGTTGTGTCCCCAGACATTACTGATGAATAAAGAAATAAACCCTGCAGAGCTGGACTTCCTTCTAAGATACCCTGTCCAACCAGGTGTAACATCACCAGTGGATTTCCTATCGAGCCGCTCCTGGGGAGGGATCAAAGTAGGGCAAGAGGCAGAGATGGCTCTATTTTGTCCCTACTGAAATGTATTGATAATGAAAGTGCAAAGAGTCATAAACATAAAATTTCTTTTTAGTGAGAGGTCAGACCAGAAATAGGTGATGCTGAGACTTTGGTGATGTCGTAACTACAACTGAAAGAAAACAGAAATTTGTCAATAACTTTGATAAATTATTGTTTTTAATCACTAGTCAAGGAAATGCTAAACAGCAGAACTGACATAGAACATGTTAGCTTGACTAGCCACAATAGCACACCGGTCGCAGTGGCTCCTGGAGAAAATATTTAGTTGGGGGCTCAGATGATGCCAGTGAACATCTTGGGGTGGCACACTAAGAAGGCAGCATAGAGGAATTTCAAGCTACACAAATTAATAGAAAGGTAAAGATACAATATTATAGTGTAAAATAAATTACTGTTTAATTCCCTGGTTGATCTCTTGTGTATATCAGATTGTACATAATCAGCGATAAATCAAGTTTATGGTGTGTGGTTAAATTTATGTCCTCCCTTGGAGGATTGCTGTTTCCTGTTCCTGCGGTAATTGAATTCACTTCCTGTTTGCTGTGCGTGCACCATGATGTACTTGCTATCAGATTGTTGACAAATTAAGCTCACTAATTTCTAGGTTTATCTGAATATCAGCTAATTTTTACACCTGCACTACTTAAGCACCTGTGTGTAATAAATGTCAGATGCTAGCAGCATTGGAGGCGAGGCTCACTGACTTGGAAGTGCAGCTCCGCACCATGGAAAACCACCCAGCTAGCCAGGCCCATGTAGCCTGTTCGGTGCCTCCTAGACATAGATCAGCCCAAGCTAGCCACTTCCTGAGCATCCGGAATCTCAGCCAGGTGGCTGGGTGACAGTTCGCAAAAGTCTTGGCTCAAAACAAATGCCCACAGTGCATCACCTGCCTGTTCAGTGACACACCCGCTGAGAAGGCAACTCTGGTAATTGGTGACTCCATAGTCAGAAATGCAAAGCTAGAGACACCAGCGGCCAAAGTGAAATGTATTCCTGGGGCCAGAGCGGGCGACATCGCAGACTCTTCTGTCTGACTATTTTCTAATAACTTTTGAATTGACATTAATGGATTATACACTATGTGGGAAAAATTTCCAGTACAGTAGATGTCTATCTGACAATGCTGTTACCAAATTTAAGAAAATAATTTTATCATTATTTACTTCAGTGCCATGTGCCAATACAATGGACGGCAGCCACCTTAGCTTTACTCCCACACAAGTCGATAACCTTGTTGATCATGCTGCAGCCTCCCTGCATATGAAACTTGATGCTATTGCCCCTCTGAAAAAAGAAGGCAATGAAATGGAGGAGGCCCCATGGTACAGCTCGCAGCTCCGCTCCCTAAACTCTGACAGAACTGAAGTTATTGTACTTTTGCCTGAAAATCTAAGAAACATGCTATCCAACCATATAGTTTCTCTAGATGACATGGCCCTGGCCTCCAGTACTGCTGTAAGGAACCTTGGAGTCATTTTTGACCAGGATATGTCCTTTAAATCGCACGTAAACCAAGTCTCTAGAACGGCCTTCTTTCACCTGCGGGGGCCCCATGATGCTCTGAGTTTCTCTCCTTCCCTCCTCTCTTCTTTCTAACTCCATGCATCTCTATGCCAGCATTACATGTCATTACTGTCTCCTCTCCCCCATAGTGTGTCCTCTCTCTCTCCCTGTACCTTTCTGCAGGTTGCCCTGGCTCTGGAGCTCTACGTTTCTGATGAGCAGCCACCGGCCACATCAAACTGGCCAGTGTTTGGTTGTTTGTTGTGTCTTGTTGCTTTTCTTTTCTTTTCTCACCTCAGAAGACCGCCCACCTTCTTTTCTCTCTCCTCTATCCACTCACCCCAACCGGTCGAGGCAGAAGGCCACCCACCAAGAGCCGGGGTCTGTCGGAGGTTTCTTCCGTTAAAGGGAGTTTTTCCTCCCCGCTGTCACCAAGTGCTGCTCAAGGGGGATTTGTTGGGTTTTCCCTCTGTAATAATAGTGATAACAGTAAGGTCTAGACCTTGCTTTGTAAAGTGTACTTAGATGACTTTTGTTGTGATTTGGTGCTATACAAATAAAATTGAACTGAAAAATGTATAAAAATAATTTCCTTTCTTGAGAGTGCTCCCTTAAAAAAATCAGCTCTGATGTGTTAGTTAAATTTATGTTAAATTTTTAAGGGATTCCAGGATTTAAGGGCTTGTCATTCAGGGATAGGGTTGGGGGGCAGTAATTTTAGGATGGTGGACATGCCCCCTATCCCCTACCTGGCGTATTCAGCTTTTTCCTTTAATTTGTCACCCGTCTGTATATGACTGAAATCCATAATGTCAGAATCAGATCATCATAACAAACTCTGCATACCTGTAGTTCCTCCTCAAGAGCAGACATCTGACAGTGGAGCTCCATGGATGTCAAGCAGCAGAAGTTCCTTCTCTTGTCAGATCAGTTTAGCAGCAAACTAAACCCTAGCGGCAGCTGTGCTCATGAATTTTTCAGTCTGTATCACCTACAATATTAACTCAACCTGAACCCCTCTGAGGGTTTGGAGATGGCCTTTCTCCAACTGCACTCAACCTACTATGGATGTTTAAGGCCCTGCTAATCAAATTCTGTCACTTGATTTTCTTATCACAGTTGAAAATATAATCAGCTGCAAAGCTTTAAAGGAGGATGAGATCCTCTGACTGCTTTTGAGTCTTGATTATATTAGCAGAGCAGGAATCCCTTGAGACCCTGTGTGTTCTCCACTCACCGGGAATGAGCAGACGGTTGCCAAGCACGTGTGGTAATTGAACAAACTGAGCCAAAGTGAAAGAATGTGTGCTGAGCCACTTCCTGTCACTTTGCCTTACCAGCTCATGATGGATTCACATGATTCATATTTTTTCTGTGACATCATGTACTCCATGTGTCTAAGGTGGAAAGGTTTCAGGACCCTCCTCATAGTATGTACAGTACTGAGAACAGCATACCCACTGTATATGTGTGTGTATACTTGACAGTGTGTACACCTGCTTGAAGCTGCACTAACGTGACACTGCTGTTCTCCACAGATAAGATAAGGTGTTTGTGAGCTGGGGCATCACAATGAAATGGCACTGGTTCTGCGATGAATGTATATTCAGTCCTCCCCCACCCTCCATCCTATTATGAAAGGGATTGTGTTTATCTACCATTGCTGAATTTGAAGAATTATTTATGTAGGCATGAGGAAAGATAAGCGCTCCTGTTTGTTTTGAGTTTCTTTTTTTGTTTTTTTTCCCCTCCAACTTTTACAAAGTTAGTATTTTTGCTGCATATTGTGATACCTATCAAAAACTTGGCTGTGCCTCACTGATCAGTTAAAAAATTATGTAGTTTTTCCTTTACGAGTGACTTTTCTTTTCTCTTCCACCAGTCCCTGTGCTCCATGGAAGCATTCAGAAACCTGGACCGAGACATTGAAGGGTCAGCCAAACGCTGGAAGAAGTTTGTGGAATCCGAATGTCCAGAAAAAGAGAAATTTCCCCAGGAGTGGAAGAACAAAACGTCTCTTCAGAGACTGTGCATGATGAGGGCCCTGAGGTCTGATCGCATGACGTACGCTGTCAGGTGAGAGGTGGAATCACACCTTGGCCTTTGCTCTGTGATGTGTGAAGTATCTTACTGACCTTTGCTATTTGGTGAAAGAGTAAAGGTTAAACAGCCTAACCTTTGGCTTATACTCTGAGCTGACAGGGCACCTGTGCTCACTGCTCCAATCTGTTCTCATAGTTATCCGCAATTACACCGGTTTGTATTAGCAGTACAATCGATGAGCCTCGCTATTAAATGAGACTATAGAAATAGCCCTTGTGCTCTGTCTAGTATTGTCATCACATCACGGTTTGGGAAACTCTTGATGAAATGTAACCCACTGTAGAGCTGCAACAATTAATTAACAAATTAGTCCAGAAAATAAATTTTTTTATAATCGAATAATCATTTCAGTCTTTTTTTTTTTTTAGCAAAAATAGCAAACTTTGTCTCCCTATCATTGTAAATGTGAGGATGGCTCTGATCTTTTATAAACAAAACATTATAGTACAGTACAGTTAGTATGACTTCCAGAAGTAGTCTACAAATGCCTTCAGCTGTCTGTCACGTAACCCTTGTCTTTCACATCATAGTATTAGTATACAGATACAGATCACATGGTACCAGGTGGGTATGGTGTCTTGATGACAAAACTCGAAAGGCCCCCTTCAGAATAGTGTGACATATAGTATGCTTTGAATAGGCTGAAATAATGAAATTATTCTAGGGTGTACCAGCAGAAATATTGAATTGTTTGTGGTTTTCTTTTGATAATGTTGTGATCAATAACAGTATGTGCTTCATTAGCCCTTTAGAAATTAAGTATTAAGTCAGTATTAATCTTGAATAATCCATCAAAATAGAATTTATGTGAATTGTATCTATAATCTGCCAGTAAGGATTTAATGTGTATTGTCTATTAAAGACTGAAGGTCAGAACAAAAAGCAAACCATAATGTTTGAAAAGCCCAAGGAGGTTGATAAAAGCCACTGACAACAGAGCCATGACTGGAGCAGGTTTTTTTTATTTTTTATAAGCAGCTGTCTTATCTAATGTACGGTTGTACTAATGTACTACAGAAGAATCCTACTCTTCAAGTTATTCAGCTTGTCATTCCAAGATAACAAAAAAAGTTGAGGAGAGCTGAGTCCTGTTCTCTCTGCAGAGACTTTGTAGAGGAGAAACTGGGAAGCAAGTATGTGATTGGCAGATCACTGGACTTCGCTGTTTCCTTTGAAGAGTCGGGTCCAGCTACGCCCATGTTCTTCATCCTCTCTCCTGGAGTTGATCCTTTGAAGGATGTGGAGAAACATGGTAATAGTCTTGCTTGTTTTATCTTTAATAACCCATAAAAGTCAGCCTCAGAGTGTGTCCTGGACTTTTATGAGAGCATACTGCATACTGTATATGGCCAATTTGTGTGTGATTTCTTTATGTCATGAGGACACTGGATTTTCACCGAACTGCCTATTGAAGTTAAGTGCAGGCATAACTGCATGGATGCTTTCCACTTTGATTCCTACTGCACAGGATTCAGAATAACCGTCCAGCACTTGTGCTTTGTGTCTCTGGTGTGATACCAGCCATCATTGCCAGTGCACAATAGGCTCTAGGTAGATTGAAAGGATTATACTAAAGGTCACAAATATATGAGAGGACACCACTGGTGTATTAGAGGCAGCAGAAAGTAAATGTCATTGGTTTTAGAGTTACTTTGCATTCCTGTATGAATAATACAGACAGCAGCAGGACATGATGTTTTGATTTTTGTCCAAAAATATGCCAAAAGTCAAAACATTTGTACAGTCACAACCTGATCCTTTCAATCTGCTGCCAAAACATTCAGTTTGTGAGTATTATATTTCAGCTCTATGAAATATTCAGATTGCTGGGATTATGTCAGGGCAGCACGGTGGCACAGTGGTTTGCTGTTGCCTCACAGCAAAACGGTTCCGGGTTCGAGCCCCGGCCAACCTGGGGCCTTTTTTTGTGGAGTTTGCATGTTCTCCCCGTGCTTGCGTGGGTTCTCTCCGGGTGCTCCGGCTTCCTCCCACTGTCCAAAGACATGCATCTTAGGTTGACTGGTGTCTCTAAATTGCCCGTGTGCGTGGTTGTTAGCCTGCATGTTAGCCCTGCGATGGACTGGCGACCTGTCCAGGGTGTATCCCACCTCTCGCCTGCAGCCGGCTGGGATTGGCTCCGTGACCCCGTTTGGGACTAAGCGGTATAGAAAATGGATGGATGGATGGGATCATGTCAATTTACTGGAACAAAGAGATTGGTGTTTTGCCTGTATTTCTGTATTTGAGCAATTCATTTTCTGGTTAATGTACTGTTTATATATGATTTGATTTGGTGTCTGTTTATGCCTGAAAGCCCCACTTAAACAAAGGAAGCCATACCATAGATTCATTTCAACTAGACAGTCAATTGCAGCTTTTTATCCAGAACACACAATAGTTATTTGGGGGTATTTTAGATGCGTCATCTTAACAAAGTCTTGGATCCTGCACAGCCAAATGTGCTTAAATCAGCCTAGAGCTGTCATAAACAGACCTTCTACTCTATGTGAAATTCACTATCCTCTTCTAATTGGATAAGAGGGAGCACTTCTACTGGAACTGCCTGTAAGGGATGTGATTATTGATTATCAACACTGTCACTTTGAGCATAGTCAGTTGCGTCAAAGCTAAGAGTAACCAATCACTGCAGCTGCAAAGAGAGCACAATGATGATGAGTAGCAGCAGTATGACCCAGAAAGGGGTGCTTTTCCATTATAGCTGAGATTATTGGGTTTCTCTTTGGTATAAGGCTTCAATTAGATTTTCATTAGATAGATGATGTGATTTTGTATGCTCTGCAGGGGACTAATGTTCCTGAGACAAACCCTCGCTATCTGCCTGGTTTCAGGTTGGAACTTTAATGAGACAGACAGAAGTAATTGTATTGTTTGAGTGAAATCTCAGTGGCAGGTGGGCAAGTAAGGCTCAGTTATTAATCATTAGCTGACTGTGAAGTTAAACGCATACTGTGACTTTTGGGGAAATTTGCTTTGTTTAATGTCATACTGAGAATTAGATGAGAAGCTTATTATCACTGTCATCTCAGTACATTTGTACTATGATGCATACCAGTACAAACACATGTAAGCAACCGAGTCACCACTCATGTCATCCTAATACTATGGTGTTGTTTCTGTTTTCATTTCAATAGTAAGCTTGGTAGTTGCTGCTTTGTAGGCCCATGGGATCAATAGCTTCTCAGTAAAATCATAATGATTGATTCTGTGGCTTCCATGATGCATCTAAACTAGAGGTAATGTAAGGCACTTTGTGCTAGTATTGCTAACTTGGCCAAAAAAGCTGTTGATGCAGTCAGGGACACATGATTAGGAAAGCTTCTGAATTCTGTGTTACATATTGTTCTGTAGGTGCATTGAGCACTTTATCTGTCAAACATGTAGACTAGATTAACATTTATAACATTTAGACTTGTTGTGCTAAGCTAAGCTTAACATATCTCAGGGCTAGCTCTGATTTAAATCCACAAGCAAAATAATAAATAAGACCCCCACCCCCAATTTTCCAAAATATTATACTACTCTTTGATGCCTGACTTCAGCAGTGTGTCAGGAGTTTTTATTTTATTTTATTTTAAATGTTACTTCTCTGTTGTCTTTCAGGAAAGAAGCTGGGCTACACATTTGACAACAAGAATTTCCACAATGTTTCTCTGGGTCAGGGTCAGGAGATTGTAGCTGAGCAAGCCCTTGATTTGGCAGCTAAGAACGGCCATTGGGTCATTTTACAGGTACTGTATAACTGTACACATCCTGTACATACTGTACAGACGGGTAAACTTATCTCACTGCAATATTAAAGATAATGCATAGGAAATACTGTGGCTAACCACAAACATTCTCCATTCACATTGTACCCACACACCACCTCATTTGTTTACAATGTTTTGAAAATCATATTGGGTAGATCCAGTTATCGTTTGGGGTACAAAATATACTAAGTGACACTTGAATATGATCGTTTGAACATTCTGGTTCTCAGTGAAATGCCCCATGTAGTAAACCCCATCCACAATTGTACAAAAACAGAATGTTTGCAATAAAAGGTGACATATGCTTTAAACACAAAACAACACAAGCAAACAATCATGGTTCATTCATGTCAAGGATTTTCTATTTAGGAATGCTTTTTGATTTGTCTGCATGAATAAATGAAGCTAAATTTAAGTGGAAATTTTCTTACTGAAAGGGCCATCATATTATACTGAGCATCATCTACAGCCAGTCTGTTCTCTTCTTATTTGGAGGGCAAAGCCGATGTTTGCATTTTAAGTGAAAACCTTGGAAGAATTCTAATGTATCGAGCGATATGAACTACACACCAAACACTGTAGGACATGCTTTTCTTTTAATTAGCGCAGCTGGTAGAATTTTATTAAAACAAAGGAAATTGGGATGCCATCATTCTTTGCTCTGAACCAAGTACAGCACAGACAAGCAGTTGTTTAATTACCTTTGCATAAGAATCCTGATCAATAGACTTAAAAAGGCCTCGTCCCCCTTGCAACAAACTTCCCACTTGTTATTGTATATCATTAGCCGCCCCTTTGTCTGCCCAATGTAAATCAGGTATCAGATTCTCATCGCTCTCCTGTTTCTACCAACTGTATCTTCTGATATATCGCTCCGTCTTCTCTGTTCTGTTCCCCTTCCCACCCTCTCATTCTGCCACGTAAACTTCATATTTTAGTGTTAGCATTTTTTCATACTGCATCTACCCTCTTACCAGTTAATCCTCATGTCCTCCCAACTTTCCCACTGACCTACTACCTCCCCATGTCCTCCTCACCTTGTCATTTATCCTCCTACCTATTCACCTACTGTACCTGGCCCTTTCCGCAGTCACAGTCCACCTTCAGTTTCCCACTTCCCATCAGCAGAGGGCCACATTAACGGCAGGCTCCCCCTCACCAATGAGTAATTATACAGCACAGCAGCAGCTTCTGCTCTGATGGGCCCAGGAGACTGAGATGCAGAAACTTTGAAAGCAGCCCAGTGGGACAGAGGAGAGGGGAGATGGAGAGGCAATCATTCGAGCAGATTAGAGCTGAACATCTTACA